CAGCGCGTGTTGCGGGGCGTTTGCAGCTTGGGGATCCTGAACCGTTTGATTCTATCTCCACGATAGGCCACAACGAAAAAACCCACAAAATGCTTGATATCATTTCCCGCATGATTTTTGTTTTTTCCAGCCAATTAAGACCTCACTGGTGAGCTGAATGAAGACCTCACTGGTGAGCTGCACCAAGGAGCATCACAGCAGCCCTCTGGCTGGCTGAGCTAAGCCACTTCTTCATCTGAGGGGCAAATGACACACCAGATCAACATGCGAACGATGCAGATGACTTTGTCCAACCATGGGAGATTCACCCCTGATATCTGGTGATTTAAATTTAAATGGGGAACATTGAGTTTCAGATCCCGTTGGAATTAGTACCCGGGTACCCTATTTTCAGACAGACCCAAACGTGAAATGGTGTGAAACTCCAGCCCTTTGATTCAAGTGGTTTTCCTGGAGTATAGGTTGAAAAGGAACACACTCTCTAGATACAACCGGCTGGATGCTCATGCAGTTGATCTTAGGAGTGGATGAGAATCCATTGCTTTTCATCATCAATTTCTCAGCAAAGTTCTGCAATTTAAAGGCACTCATACCCTTTCTGGATCATATTTCAAAACCGCAACATTTCGGTGATGCAACCCCCATCTTCGAATATCTTCAAGAGTTTTCGACATACTTCAGCGTGTTGACTGCCGCTTTTGATATGATATGGTGTTGTGCATGGAACAATTCATCGATTTGAGACTCTGCCTGTAGAAAGGCGTCCCCATATTTTCCCGCGCGAAGAGTCAGCTGTGGAGACGGGTGAATCTGCTGGTGGAAGCAGAGGAGGGATTTTTTAGATCATGTTTTCCCCCGGATTTTTCGGTAGAACGGGTGCCTGGGGGCAGATACAAACATAGGAATAGCGACAGGAATTCTGGTTCAAAGCTTCCTGCCCATCATGGGTACAAAAGCAACGTGACGCACAAAACATACAAAAACAACAATTTCCAGCCATTTCTGGAGGTTTCTAGCCAGCATTGGCGAACCGGATTTCCCGAGAATAAACCCGAGGTGCAGCCTTTCTGCCGACGGAAAAGACACCAGGTGCTTCATTGGTGTACTTGGTGGTTCGATTACTAAACCCCAGTTTATTAATATAGGGGATTCCCAATAGTGACATTTCCCTTTATATGTGGTGCCCCACCAATTAGTTTTTTTTTTGTTTCCCGGGTTGATATTAAGTCAAGAACAAGCCCAGCTAAAAATGGACCAATCCTACTTGTATTGCTTGTACATGGGGTTACAAGCTACTTAGTAACCGGGCTTAACGACCAAGAAGCAATTGACTGGATGCCTGGGGTCACGTTTGAGGGATCGCCAAACTTGGCTTTTGTTGGAGATGGATTGTCCAGACTTAGCGGTCTCGTCAAGTCGTCGCAAAGTTCTTTGAGTTTGGTTAAACCGTACTTGGTATTTCTGCTGGTCAATTTTCTCATTTCCATCATAGTTATCCGCCAAAAAGATAGAACAGGCAATCCCTACTCAAGTGGTGATAATTCAAAGCCCAGCAATGGAAATCATTGATCATAATTGATATCAAAAATCCCCACTTTCGCAAGAAATCCATTGATCAAAGCCCAGCTGCTGAAATCTGCGGAGGCACGGAGAACTGTGTGCCGGGTCCTAGCTGCAGAGGAAGGCGTGGCTGGATGGGACCATCAGGAACTGGCTGATGCGGAACCCCCTACTGTATGGTTTCCAGTTCGGAAAATGATCTACAAATGGTGGCTTTTCCAGATCTATCTTAGTTTACCAGAGGGTAACGTCCTGGATTTGAGATGGGAATGAGGGAATCCATCCTGCACACCGCGGCCAACTAGTCCCAGGTGAGTTCGCAAAGCCTTTCCCATTCTCAGCCGTTGTTGGCTGGGTCCCCGGCAGTCAAACATCGTCCATGGCATGGATCTTCCGTGAGTGGAGGTGGTTGCACTTTAAATTTCATGATAATGTCTGGGGATGGTCGAAATCCCACCATTTTTTTTTTTGGGGGGGGGTCCCACTTGTTTTTTGTTCAAACCCATGTCCCAGAATCTATCACTTGCATGACCAGATTTGTGGTCCCCTATGTCAGCAAAAAAAGGCCCATGCAAGGTGGTGCCCCATAGTCAGCGAAGTTGGTTTTCAGGAAGGATGGCCAGGGCGTATGGCGTACCGTATAATATTACATATATAATACGTATATATATATATAATGTGTATACACAATACGTATATATATATATATGTGATACAATACAGTATAATACAATATAATATAAGATGAAAACATATAATATTAATATTAATCTAATCTAATCTAATATCATTTAATATCATTTTTAATATCATATAATATCATATCATATAATATCATATCATATAATATGATATAATATGATATGATATAATATTATATAACATAATATAACATATCATAATATAACATATAATATAATAAAATAAGACAACATGTAATAATATATATATATAATATGTAAACATATAGATATGAATTACCTAAGGCCTCAATGGGGTTTATAGACTACCTTATAGCCATTTTTGGGCACCTCGTTGTATATCCACCTTATATCCAGCTGAGGTCAAGAAGAGATTAAGCTGGCGCTTCTCTTGAACCTGGTGGTGAACTCAGATTTCTCGATGGGAACTGGCTGGGCACTTCGAGGTCGGCGCACCGAAAGTGGTGCCACTGAAAACACCTCTGAGTTTCTTCAAGGCAAACATAGCTATGGAAAATGGCCATAGAAATAGTGGATTTTCCCATTAAACATGGTGGATCTTTCCATAGTTATGTTAGTTTACCAGAGGGTAAATCCCATTAAATTCCATTAAACCACCATAAACCCTCATTAAATCACCATTTTCCTATGGTTTTCCTATGGTTTTCCTATGGTTTCTGGGATATGGGGGATATTTGGAGAAATCACAGTGCAGAACCCCCCAGCAACTGATCGGTGCCACTGAAATCCAGGGGTTCGAGCACCTCCAGTGACTGGTCGGAGCGTCTTTCTATTATGTACTACTACTGTATTATGTGTATGATAACTGAAATTATCACTATTATCATTATTGATATTACGGTATGAGGATTATAAATACAATCATTATTGATACATATATATATATATAACATAATATATATATATATATATCTACTATATATATACACTATATAATATGTTTGTATTATGAATTATAACTTAAACCTTTTGTCATGATCCATCCGGTATCGCCAGGTGGATCCCTCCATTGGAGGTGTCATGATCTCGGGGGAGCGAGGAACAGGCGCTACCAACGGCCCCGGTGGTCGTTACGTGGTCGTTACGTGCTCGTTACAGGACATGGAGATATCCTCTGGTAAACTAACATAGCTATTGAAAATGGCCATTAATAGTGGATTTTCCCATTAAAAATGGTGATTTTCAATAGCTATGTTAAATTACCAGAGGGTATGTTACGGGAGATGTTCACGGTTTTTTCTGGGATTGGGATTTTTTTGGGATTTTCAGCATTTATTTCACATTTTAAAACATGGTTTGCCCTTTTGAAATGGATGACTCTGGATGACTCAAGCAAAAAAAAAGGCAAATAGCATCAAATGACCATTTGAATTGAATGGGAGAAAGATTAGGGTTTAACCCACTATTTTCTTGAATTGCACAACCTTCCAAGCTTCCTTGTTGGACTTTTACAGTTAGAAATCTGGAGTTTGAATCAGGTGAATTCAACCTCTAGAATCCTGAGACCTTGGGCGAACTTAAGTCATCTTAAGTCAATGGACCGGTATGAATCAAGTAAGATGGTGACGTCCTTCTTGAAGTGTCAGAATCAGTTTACTAAAATTACTGTAGTCTACTATTTTCGTGAACCAAGGACAAATGAGCAGTGGCAGACCAGATGAAACACGTAGGGACTCAAGTAGGAAAGGGATCCACTGACATCCAATTTGGTCGACGGCTTTGAGCGTTTGGCACCTTTCATCAGTTGTCCCATTCCATCACTCTCTTCTCTCTCTCTCTCTGTATATATATATATGTATAGTATAGATATATATCTTATATCTTATATTACATATAAACTATATATATATATTGTATATTAGTTATACTACATATTACATATTATATATTATATATTATACATTATACATTATATATTATATATTATACATTATACATTATATATTATATATTATACATTATATATTATATATCATACATTATATATTATATATTATATATTATAGATTATATATTATATATTGTATATTGTATATTATATAATAAAAATATATTATATATAGATTGTGTATGTATATATATATATATATTATGCCCCAATTGACAAAGGGGACATGTTGAAGCCCCCAGCAAGCGCAGTGGATTTGGACCATACGATAGAGTCAACCGGGGGTGCCCCAATTGAATTAGGAGGTTTTCCCTCGGGATTTGTGGACTTGTGTCACTCAATGCTGAAATTCCATCTCCCAAGGCTAGGCCTTTTCCCTATTTCCAACACCTTTTTGTGCCCTGGCAGTGTAGCAGATCCCATGTCAACGCACCTGTTGATGGCCAACTTCTATGACGTGCTTCGGGTGAGCTCGACCGCAAATGTGGATGAGATCAAATTGGCTTTCAAGAGGAGAGCTCTCCAAGTTCATCCCGATAAAGGTGGCAGCAAAGAAGAATTTCATTTGGTCTACCAAGCACTTGAGACATTGGCTGACCCCAAGGCACGAAAAAAGTATGACGCTGCGTTAGCCCTGAAGTCCACAAGGGCATCCGCCAAAGGGGTGCCGAGGCCGAAGAAAAAGACGACAGTTTTTTCCATGCAAAAGCCATCAGCACAGGGCCCTGCGCCACGGCAACCAGCCAAGCCTGAAAAAAAGAATCGGCCCCAGAGCGATGCAAAAAAAGGTGCAGGAAGACCTCAATCTCCGGAGTCGCAGCAAACAAAGTTGTTGAAGAAGATCCAGCACCTACTTCAGCAGCTGCCTCGTGACCGGCGGCATCATGTGATCACTACGATGTTCTCACAGCAACAGCGGGAGATGTTGGAAAGGTGGATGGTGGATGCCCAGACACGGCAGCCGCAGCCACGACAGCCACAGCCAGTGGCTGTTGCTGTGCCTAGCTGTCCCAAGGCAACTGCTCCGAGTTCTTCGGAAGAGCTGCGTTCACAGGTGCTGCAAAAGTCCCAAGGTGCCTTGGCCCTGCCAGATGTGGAGAGGAAGGCGAGCCGGAAGGCTTCAGCACGGATTAAAGATAAAGCTGCCAAACAGATGAAGAGGATCAGAAGCATGTGTGGCACCATCACAAAAGAAAGAGGCTGGAAGAATGAGACTTATTATTACAGAACCCGTTTGCGCTTTGATGCCATTGACATTTCGACTGGAAAATGTGATCTTCCAACAGCCCTAGAGTACTTGGTCATTCTCACTGCGGTGAAGCAGAAGATGAGAGACCCCAGCAACGATGCCACCTTTGAGCAACGATTACAAGAAGCTCTAGCAACATCAGCAAAGGAGCAAGGAAAATCAGTGGCTGAACTGAATCTGCGCTTTTCGGTCCTGCAAGCTGCTGCCTTCTTTGTAGGACCCGGGTGCCTGGTTCGCACCCCCAAGGTGCGTAGCATTGAAGCACTTGGCAGGATCAGGGAGTGTTTGCAATCTTTCCCTCAATATGGGAAACACATTGGTCTGCAAAGTGTTTTTTGGCGCTGCAGCCCTGCTGAGCTTCAAGATGGCTGGGAACGATTTCAGACTGCGGTTGTTGCAGCCTGGGAAATTGCAGGGGAAGACTCCATCGACTACATGCGGAAACTGCGTTTGATGCATGAGGCAAGTGTTGGTTTCCGCACCAGGCACCTGCAAATCTGGGAGCAGCGACACATGGCCATGCAGGACAGAAACAGGCACCGGCCCAAGAGGTTGCAAGACCGCAGCACCAAGCCATTGGAATGTCAGGAGCGATTACGGATGGCAGCACATGACAAACAGCGTCCAAGGGACTTGAGAAAAGAGAGGCACAGCCATTTTCCCGAGCCTTGGGAGAGGGAGCAAATGGCCCTGGCGGACAAGAACAAACAAAGACCTCGGAGACTGCGAGTGCCTTTGCAGCGGAATCGGCAGATATTTCTCTCCAGGATCTTGGCGGTTTTGAGCCAAGTCCTTGCGAGATGGGAGCGCATCTTGAGACGAGAAGCAGAGCTGGCAGAGAAAGAGCAACGCAGAGTCCTGCGCCAACGAGAGCTGGATCAGAAGAAAGAGATGGAGGAGCAACCTGGCTTTGGATACTTTTTTTTGGTTCTTTGTTTCTTTAACAAACAAATCCAATGAAATTTCATGAATGAAACATCTACCATAGTTGTCCATCGTTCATTGGGGATATGATGGATTTGCCCAAGGCAAAGACGCCGAGAAAACTTGAGCCGCAAGAGACAACGAGAAGAGGAGCGAGAAAGGAGAGAATTCTTGGCCAAGAAGATGCGATCAGACCTCACTATGGATGAAATCCTTGGCACAAACCATGGCGTGAGAAGAAACACTTTTTGCACTTGTGGGATGAGGCACAAACATCATGCAACCTGAGCCACTAAAGATCATTCAAGTTCATCGCCTTAGTTGATTGGGTATGATACTACGAAATTCTAGTACCCATAGTGTATAACCTTTATACCTATAAAAACCAATTCATTACCCATAGAAAACCCAATAAAGTTGATTGGTTTATTGATCTTTATTGTTTTTTTTAGGTCTCGTAATGGCTCAATGCTTTTTTGTCATTGGAGTGTCCAAGCCAAACCCCGTTAGTTGGAGGGTCCCGATCACCAGTGACCGTCAGTTCACCCAGTGGATGGGATAGCCATGGATAGTCCACGAAAAGGGGACGAATCCGATCACCAGGCGATCCCGATACAAGCAGTTACCGATTCTTGGAACGATCCTCCAAGTACTGATGAAGCGATATTTGAAGCGACTTCCCAAAGTGGATGTGCCGGGTGTTTTCCGGTTCCAAAGGGGGTTTCTCCATATTTGGAGACCGAGGGATCCACTGTTTCTGATGCCAACATGTTTTATCGAATCCAGTGGATGTCCAGCAAAATCGAATGCCAAAGTTCGACTTGATATAAGAACTGGTTGGTGGTTTGGAACATTTTTTATTTTCCATAATATATGATGGGATGTCATCCTTCCCATTGACTAATATTTTTCAAGATGGTTAAAGTTAAAACCACCAAGCAGACATGTTTGAACTGATTCTTTTTGTCTATCCATACTGTTTAAGGACTTGTCATTTGTGAAGACAAAAAGTCCATCACAAAGAAACACAGCACGGCGCAGGTAAATCCACCACGGTGCGCGGCATGGCCTGGGGACCTTGAGTGGCAGCATGGCCAGGATGGGCATTGCCATGGCCTTCTGAGATGCTTCACAGAACTTGGTGAATTCCTATGGTTTATGGTAGATAGGAATCAACTCTATCGATAGCGTAGATATATGGTAAAGCCATTGTATGATGAATATATATATATAAGAAACATAGATATCAATTTAAAGCAGATCATCCATGGTTTATGGTTCATCATAGCTTGGTGAATTCACTATGGTTGATCAGTGGGATATAACGAACAGCAATAATTCCATCACTGGGGCGGTCTGCACAGTCGTAGATATTTTCAGGTTTTGCGTGACCTGGCCTTGCTGCAAATCCAGTAAAATACACTTTTTTTTTTTGGTACTGTAATATTCAGAAGAGAATTGCAGGCAAAGGTGTGTGGCCTCAGATGTAGCTTTAAGATGTTGGGCTAGGCTTGACTCAAAGAAGGTCATCTCGCTAACACAAGGCCGTACTCAAAGTGAGACCTCACGAAGCCCACGATTCCGGACATATGTATATATATAATATAGATATAATATATATATATGATATATATATATATTATATATAAGAATATATATATATGATCTAGATTATATGGGTTTGTCTGAAGAAAAGGACGCCAGTAGATCCACTGACATCCACTCATAATTTTCACAAATTTTCCAATGACCATTTTAGGAGTACCATTCGCCCAAGGGCCCATTGCTTTCCGATTGAACATGAAGAACTTTGGAAAAAAATTGGGGTCCCCCATGCTAGGGTTTACCCTCACCGAAAAAACCTCCATTTCTTCCATTCCAATCTTTCCTTCACCAGGTGCGCTTGTTGCCGGAGATCGAGTATGTCAGGGACGCCGAAATTTTTCTGCTATGCCGGTGTGTTTGGATGGGATCATCAAGAAAGTGAAGTATTGGACAATCTTGGACATATACTATGTATTACCCTCTGGTAAACTAACATAACTATGGAAAATCACCATTTTTAATGGGAAAATCCACTATAAATTGCCATTTTCAATAGCTATGTTAGTTTACCAGAAGGTACTATGTAACCCTAAAAAATGACCTGACATTGCCTTTTCAAATGGGACAACATTCATTAAAGAGCCCTGGGCTACTCTTGACAGGGCTACTCCTAAAAGTTTCTATCATTTCAACAAAAACCAACAATTCTGAACAAAAACTCACAAAACCAAAGAATATGAAAGACATCAAAAAACAAACAATCCACAAATTCCAAAGCAAACTCAAAAAATCAAAAAATAATCTAACAGACAAAAAAACAGAATTTAAAAACAAAACACACTCTGAATAAAACAAAAACTTTCAAACATCCAAAATAGTTCCAAAAAATCCAACAAATTCTAACAAGTTCGAAAACTATCAAACAACAATAATAATCATAATATAACACGAAAAAAACACACAACAAAAAATATATCAAAAGAAACAAACAAATAACAACAAATCTTGAACTTATTCTTTGAAATAATCAAAACACATTAACGATTCTGTTTGGAATGACACATAATCATTTGGAATGAACTCGACATATTTGGAAACTAACATGAATAAAAAGGACCGTTCTAGGAGTGTCCCGAAAAAAGGGATGTGTTTCTCCATAGATAATAGTGCTACCATTCAGCTGCCGAGGTGGAGGGCGATCCTTACAATTCGGATCCGCAAGATGTTTCTCTCATGAGTGAAGAGGTGGGTCGATCCCATCGGAGAGTCCAACGGTCCACAGATGGATGACTTTGGGATGATTGAAATTTGCCATTTTACATGGCTCTGAGATTTTCAAGGTCAGGATATACACCACCTGATAAAAAACCTGGACCTAAATAAAGATGTTGGGGAAAATCATGGTAAACCACCGGGATCACTGGGGTTATTTTAAGGCAAAACCACAGCATCTCTTGTTTACCATTTTTTTCCGGAGCCTCCGTTCAGCTTTCTGGGTATCTCAAAGTGTGGAACGGGTGGAACGGCAAAATCCATCAACGTCCCACCGTCCCACGGCTATCAAAATAGCCATCAACTGATATATAGATTGGTTCTCCATCCATCTCCAAGCCTTTTTGAGGCGAGACATTTGCATCTTGTTGCAGTATATCCCCATTCTATCATATATACATGCATGCATGCATGCATGCATGCATGCATTACACTACACTACATTACATTACGTTACATTACATTACATTACACTACACTACACTACATTACACTACACTACACTACACTACATTACATTACATTACACTACACTACAGTACATTACATTTCATTACACTACATTACATTACATTACACTACATTACATTACATTACACTACATTACATTACATTACACTACACTACATTACATTTCATTACATTACATTACATTACACTACACTACACTACATTACATTACATTACATTACATTACAGTACACTACACTACATTACATTACATTGCATTACATTACACTACACTACACTACATTACATTACATTACATTCCATTACATTACATTACATTACACTACACTACACTATATTACATTACATTACATTCCATTACATTACATTACATTACACTACACTACATTACATTACATTCCATTCCATTACATTACATTACACTACACTACATTACATTACATTCCATTACATTACATTACATTACACTACACTACACTACATTACATTACATTACATTACATTCCATTACATTACATTACATTACACTACACTAGACTAGATTACATTACATTACATTCCATTACATTACATTACATATATACTGTATATATATATATATACACACCATCAATTTCGTCATTACATTGTTAGTAAACCATCCACCACTCATAAAACATCCACAGCCTATGGCCTGGCGCAGGTGAAAGAACGATTGGAGAAAGGAGAAAAGCTGAAAACCACCAAGAAGTCGGGTTCCACAGTGGACTCGGACCATATGGACCATGGCCACGAGTCGCCACTTAGCCATGGCGATGCCATTTTTTTGGGGGATGGTTTTCCGTGACAAAGTGGTAAACATGTGACATATGTGACAGAAACATTTGGAAAGCTTGGTGATTTCTTATTGGCTACACATCCAACCACATCACAATTCATTTGTATCGAAGATATATGAACTACTGACTAGTACGCTTCATTTTTTTAAAATACACATTGGGATTGTTGGTGAAATTCTCCATCCACATTTTGTGGTTTTCCCATGGATTTGATGCCAGCATGCTTATCCGAAATCTTCCCTATCTTCCCTGGGTTTCTGTTCATTGTTTAACTTGTTTAACTTGTTTAACTTGAAAGCCACCTTGAAAAAACATAACAAAAACCACCCTGGAAATTGGGGGAAACACCCAATTTCAGCATCTCCGGTCATTCGTTAAGTTGGTGAACGTAACCAGATCGACCAGGGTTTATGGATAATAGCGCATTATACTGTACAGCTTTATAGATGGATCAAGATAAAACATATACCACTATTTTGTAACACTAATGCATATATACTTATATAGTTAGCAGATTCAGTTTTGAACATGAACCTATATTCATCGATCTTATATCCAATCAATACATTATATCCATCTATAAATAGTCATGGAGGTAATCCATTTAACTGGCTATGATATCCAATATCTTTTTCTATCGAATAGCGAGAGAAGCTATATAGTTAACTTGGGAATACTTGGTATATATAGTCATATAGTCACATAGTCATATAGTCATATGGTTATATAGTGATAATAGCTATATAAATAGAGCTATATATATATACTTTTATAGTGATATACTTATGCAGTTAATTTTACATTCATATAGTCATATCAAAAAGTCACAAAAAGTCACAAAAAAACATATAGGTGTATTAAGACTTACATACTGTGGATGGAAATCTTTCCCCTTGGATGGTTGAAACATGTTGAAACCCTATCAACTGGTGCAGGATTTCGGAACCATCCACAGCAGGAACATATCTTTGTTATATCCAAACTGAAGATCTATAGCCATATAGTTTCATAGTGACTCATAGTGTTCAGTCTTATAGATACATTTATATAGTTACCCAGTCATAGTATAGTCATATTATAGCAATATTATTGCAATATTATAGTCATATTGTAGTGATATTAGAGTGATATTATAGTCATACAGTCATATAGTTACACAGTGTTCCATTTTCTCCAAAGTATGTGGATATATGAACTGACTAACGATATGAATATCTATACACAGTTACTCGGATATTCACATACCCTCTGGTACACGTTTACATAGCTATTGAAAATGGTGATAGAAATATGTAGTGGATTTACCCAGCTATAAAATGGTGGATCTTTCCATAGTTATCTTGGTTTACCCATTTATAGTTGATTTATCCATTGAACATGGTGATTCTCCATAGTTATGTAAACGTTTACCAGAGGGTTTTTCAGAGGGTAGTTCTGATCTCCAAAGTTCTTCACGTCGTCCAAAGCCAAGGCGCACGCCCTTCGTGGAGCTGCCTCTGGGCGCCACGGAGGATCGGGTCACCGGCACCATCGACATCGAGCGGGCGCTGAAGGAAGCTGGCAAGGTGCCGGGGAACCCGTAGGAAAACTCTATGGGAACCGTAGGAAACCGTAGGAAATCATAGGAAAACGGTGATTTAACCCTTTGAAATCATAGGAAAATGGCCATTGAACCAAGAAACATAGATTTTCATGGGATTTATATCGATCATCCCATGGATAAAGTGCTGATATTTTGGTGGTTACAATCCATTTAAGCCCATGAAATGGGGACTTCCTTACCGGTTGTGACGAACAGTTCGCCACGGAAAATCCCAAGCATAAATGGAGGTTTAGTTCGCTGGGTAAATCATCTATTTCGATTAGGGCCATCTATACCATGGCTATGTTAGTCATAACCAGCGGGTATACTCCAGGGGTCCTTTAAAAAAAGCATGGGATGTACAAGGGATGGACGCCATTTTTGGGATGATGGTCGCCCACGCTGTCAATGGGGGACATCCAAGTTGTGGAAGAAACCATCAGATGTCGGTGGATTTTTCCACCATGATCCGGGAATTTCACCAGATTTACCCAACCTGGTTATGACTAACAGTTTGCCATGGAACATGGCCCATAGAAATAGATGGTTTACCTATTAAAAATGGTGATTTTCCATGGCTATGTCAGTCATAACCAGATGGTAACCATCAGAATTGGAGCTTCAAGCGTCAAAATTGGGGAGTGTCCTTCAATGTGAGTCGGATCAATCTGATTAAATCATAAAATTCTGGGTAAATTATAACGACCTCACTGTGACCTCACTGGAATCATGGTTAGTTAGTAAGGGAAATCATCCCCAATTACCCAGAAAATTGCATGAAATTCATGGGGATAAAAACTTCAATTCATTGTTTCTTGGTCCTTGAAACGGTGAAACGGACCAGAATTTCTGAGGCTTGACCCATCCAAGAATGGGTTTGGCCAAGCCATTACCCAGTTTCCACAGTTTCCACAGTTTTCGTCCATTGCTCGGATCTTAAAACCCCGAAAAAAATTAGGGTACCCCAAGTTTGATACGCAAATTGTAACTGAACTCATGGCTTATAAAACTGTGATGGATGTAAATTCTAAAGGATCGCGCAGGAATTGGACTTATCAAGTGTATCGATGTAAATGGAGGGAATAGGGGTAAACGCAACGCACCAATTCACACCAGATATAGCTACTCTGTAGCGGACACAAGGCTTGGGGTTACGGGCTAGGGGTTCATTATTGTATGAAGAGACTTAACCGGCAAATGTGGTGAACCAAACCACGAATTGCCATTTCTGCGACTTGACTAGAAGAAGATATGTTGGCTGATGCCAAAACAAATTACACTCTTGCTGTATAGTCCATGTCCATGCCCATGAAATCTCTCATAGAACCCATTCGTGGGACCAAGGAATCGTAAGTGGTGATCACCATCATATTTATGAAATTGTAAAAGGGGGCGTATCCTAAGAATCGAACTAGGTATTTCAGATCATACTTGAGCTGCAGTTCCAGTTATACGTGGTTATATAACCATGGTTACATATCCTGACTTATGGTGGTGAGCATCCCATGATTCTACCAATCACCCCTGGCCAACCCCATAAACGTTTTGGTTCATATTGAATCTTAAACATTAACCATTGATTAATCATTAACCATTCTCAACAAGTATGCTTATTGGCTACTTAGGATTCCTGGATCGCAACCACCCCACCGCCCTTTGCGCTCTTTGAGGCGTTTGAGCCTGGAATTTTAGCTCGGGTGAATCGGGGGATCCTCTACATTGATGAGGCCAGGACTGTCACGATGAGGTCCCGTGACTCTCTGGGGAGGTCTAGTCTGGTCGACTGAGTTGAAAAAGGAGCCCCCTCTGGGCTGAAGAACTCTGAATTTCGTGGGGTAATCTGGCACTCACAGGGCCAACTTTGAAAAATCTCATCGGCATCCCAATACAGCTTTGAAACATGTCAGCACTTCACAGGCACAATGTGTTCCCTTGAGCTGTACTGGCTTTGCGTGAAAATAAAGTCCTCCAAACATGCCAAACTTGGCGGTTTTAGCCAACCCATTTTCAGACAGACCATGACAATTATATATTCATTGCCTAATTTCCTAGTGTTGATGCTTAAATTAAATCCCCATTTTAGAATTGGTGAATAGTTCCCTCAAACTATCATTCACATCCCTTTGCACCCAATATTTCACTTTTTTCAACCTCCATCATATTCCATGATTTTCACGGCAAAAGCTCCATTTTTTTCATGGTGAATCCCCTGCTGGAACAACCAGCTGCCAGCCACATTGATCCAGCCGCCAGTGCAACCTCTTGGACGACCAACTGGTGGATGTCTTGTTGGACAGTGCAGCTGGGGGTGTCAACACCGTGGAGCGCGAGGGTGTCAGTTGGGGCCCCGGGGTCCCAGGGTCCAACAAAGGTCAGGCTTTGTAGATGGTGATGCCGAAACTGCCAGTCAGATAGATTTTAAGTTGACGCACATAGCTTGCTGAATTCTATGGTTTATAGAGGACAAACACTGATATACCTATAGTTAATGGATTTGTAAACCAACATTATAGCCGGCTTGACTTTGTAGCAACCCCCAGTCATAGATGCTAAAACATTGGACACCTGGAAATGATATGAAATCACATGTACAACGGGGTTACCACCATATACTGTACCATAGTATTTAAAACTTGATAAGGGGTCAACAAACAGATATAAGTGGGCTGTCTACTGTAGACTATTGCTTTTAATTTGTTTCTTTCAAAATGTTGGTGTTTGTCAAAAATAGTGGTGCGTCCAAACCACTTGCTTTCCCTATTAAGATTAAACGTGGCTAATAAATTGCAATCTTTTTTCCGATGGGTCAAGGTTTAAGACGTGGTGCCCGCCGATTTTGGTAGAGTTGAGCCTTGAAATGTGGAATTTTTGATTCGCCAATTTGGCCTTTAAATGCAGATGCAGCACAAGAAACCCATTCCAATCCTGGCCGTTTTTCTTTTTCAAAGCTGCACAACTGACCATAACTGGATGGCTGGAGCCAAAAAAAAAGCAACGCCGGCCCTTTGAGGCGTGAGACATCCTGCGCGCTTCGTGTTGATTGGCACTTCTCATCCTGATGAGGGCGATCTAAGGCGGATCCCATCGGATTGGCATCAACCCATTTCGTTGGATCGAGAGCCATCTGACCAAATTTTGGATCCAACGTTGGCCTCGTAGTAACATAACTGCTTGGGGGTTTCCTAAAATGCAGGTACCCAAAAATGGATGGTTTTTCTAATGGATGATGCCTGGGGTACCCCTAGTACCCCCATTTCAGGAAACCTCCAGATGACACAAAGGGCCATCCTTCTGGGGTTTTGTTGGGGCCGGCTCCCTATCCCAACCGAAGTGGGCTATGGCTATTGAAAAAAACAAACACATATTATCTTCATCATGGTTGATTTGATACCCCCAAGTCATCTCACGATGATGAAATCTTAGATATTATTAGTGGTTCAGAATATCCCCATATATATGTGTATATATATATATATCTAATAATATATCTAATAAGATATCTAATAAGATATCTAATAAGATATAAGTTGCTATTGGAATCACCAAAAAAAACCCGAAAAAAGATCTCCCCCAAAGTGGTAATGGTGAAGCCTCGGCGCCGCCAGGCCGCAACTCTTGGATCGCTTCGGCTTGACCTGCAGCATTCGCACGGCCCTGGCGGCGGAGAAGCGAATGGAGGCCCGGCCAGCGGAAAGGGTTGGAGTTGGAGCCACTGGAGTCATTTTGGATGGCACAATTTGGATGGAGATGTTTTGAGATGGTAAATTTTGGATCCCAACAAATTGTCATTTTTGGAGATGTTGACACATTTTGACCATTTTTGGAGATGTTGACACATTTTGACCATTTTTGGAGATGTTGACACATTTTGACATTTTTGGAGATGTTGACACATTTGACCATTTTTGGAGATGTTGACACATTTTGACAATTTTTGGAGATGTTGGCACATTTTGACCATTTTTGGAGATGTTGACACATTTTGACCATTTTTGGAGATGTTGACACATTTTGATCATTTTTGGAGATGTTGACACATTTTGACCATTTTTGGAGATGTTGACACATTTTGACCATTTTTGGAGATGTTGACACATTTTGACCATTTTTGGAGATGTTGACACATTTTGACCATTTTTGGAGATGTTGACACATTTTGACCATTTTTGGAGATGTTGACACATTTTGACATTTTTGGAGATGTTGACACATTTTGACCATTTTTGGAGATGTTGACACATTTTGACATTTTTGGAGATGTTGACACATTTTGACAATTTTTGGAGATGTTGACACATTTTGACATTTTTGGAGATGTTGACACATTTTGACCATTTTTGGAGATGTTGACACATTTTGACCATTTTTGGAGATGTTGACACATTTTGACCATTTGAAATCAAAATAGGTTGAATATCAGTAGGTGATGTCACTGTATAGCTTCCCCAGGTGCGTAGCCCAGGCTTCCAATTTGGAGGCGGACTGCACCAACGGAAAAGAGGAATAGCCAACAAAACCACCGTCACAGGGAAAAACCTTCTTGGAAGGGGAAAAACCCTGCGCCGAAACAAGGGAGGACGGACGTATGCCGACGAATCCATGCCCCCCAGCAAAAAAGGATAGGCCGCGTCAGCCGTGGAGGACGAAAGCCATCCGAAACATGCAAAATAAAGGATGGCTAATCTCAAAAAAAAAACATTTTTGGAGATGTTGACACATTTTGATCATTTTTGGAGATGTTGACACATTTTGACCATTTTTGGAGATGTTGACACATTTTGACCATTTTTGGAGATGTTGACACATTTTGACCATTTTTGGAGATGTTGACACATTTTGACAATTTTTGGAGATGTTGACACATTTTGACAATTTTTGGAGATGTTGACACATTTTGATCATTTTTGGAGATGTTGACACATTTTGACCATTTTTGGAGATGTTGACACATTTTGACAATTTTTGGAGATGTTGACACATTTTGACCATTTTTGGAGATGTTGACACATTTTGACCATTTTTGGAGATGTTGACACATTTTGACCATTTTTGGAGATGTTGACACATTTTGACCATTTTTGGAGATGTTGACACATTTTGACAATTTTTGGAGATGTTGACACATTTTGACCATTTTTGGAGATGTTGACACATTTTGACCATTTTTGGAGATGTTGACACATTTTGACAATTTTTGGAGATGTTGACACATTTTGATCATTTTTGGAGAGATGTTGACACATTTTGACCATTTTTGGAGATGTTGACACATTTTGACCATTTTTGGAGATGTTGACACATTTTGACCATTTGAAATCAAAATAGGTTGAATATCAGTAGGTGATGTCACTGTATAGCTTCCCCAGGTGCGTAGCCCAGGCTTCCAATTTGGAGGCGGACTGCACCAACGGAAAAGAGGAATAGCCAACAAAACCACCGTCACAGGGAAAAACCTTCTTGGAAGGGAAA